GGGGGGGGGGCATATAAAGGTGACAAATTCTTGGCCTCAGGAGGCAATTCACCGAAATTTAACCTTGTTTTCGGATGAGTTTGAATGGATGAAGCTTCCAGAATGGACGTGAACATGTTGACAGCGTCCAAGACAAACCAAGCGTCTCAATAAATAAAGACGACAACTTGTGTCGTAAGTGAAATAAATAACAATAAGTTAATTCCATCTTAATAAATATACCTCTTCCACACAAGTGTATTCATACATATATACTGTATATATAGAGAGAGATATTTATACACAGTATGTCTATATATTCAGATGATGGTGGAGGGGGGGCGGGTGTGTCTGCTGAATCCCGTTGTTTCCGAAAGAGTCCTCACCAAATAAAGAAAGAAAAGGATATTTCCTTGAGGCTTTCCAGAAGAAAGAATTTTTTTTTGTTCTTTTTTTTTTTTTTTTAGAAAACGCAGTTAGGAAAATGAGGAAATGTAACAGTATATTCTTTGTAAGTTCCATTGTTTAGGATTTTTTTTTTTTTTTTTTAGTCAGTCTCACACACAAGCGCACCTCTTGGCCGAGTGTTTCTTCAGCGTGTGGTAGACCACGTTATCATCCAAGAAGGACAGGTCGTCGTCGAAGGCGACCGGTCGGCAACAGGTGCGAGAGGGCGCGTCCCTGTCCAGCTTGTTGCCGTGGCTGAGGTTGCTGAGGATCTTGTCGTAGTTGGTCTCGGCCTCGGCACACGGGCCGCTGCAGTAGCGGAAGATCAGCTCCTCTTTGGTCTGGTAGCCCAGACCCAAGTCCGTCACGTTGAGGTGGACCTCTTTCAGGAGGCAGCCTCGACCGGCACGGGCCGACGTCCTCCCCCGTCCCCGTTCGCCTCGTCCCGCTTTGCCTCTGCCGGCCCCTCGGGTCCCGCCTCCTCTGTTCCGGCCTCGCTTCCTGTCGCCGCCGTGTGCCCTCCCTCCGCCTCGTGTGTTGTTTGCCGCCCCCCTGTGCCTTTGCTCCCGCTCCTTTGGGCCCCGGGAGTCCGAGGATCGCCGCAATCTGCCGATTGTCGCCTCGATGAAGTCCATGACATCATCAAACTGCTCCGAATAAGGATTCGCGTCGTCTGCAATGCACATGGAACATGGAAATGTTGAGTTTCTTAAAATCATTTTTCATTTTTTTTTGAACCACCTAAGAATATACTTTGATTGAATGCAAATGTATGGAAATAAAAAAAAGTTCAATACAACAGAACTGTATCTTTCCCATACTTTGAGAGGGAGCCCGAGTTTTTTATTCTTTTTTTTTAATGTAAATTTCTACACTAATTATGACAAATTTCAACTATGTTCTAAACCGAGGACCTGCATATTCTTGGTCGAATTGACATTTATCAAGAAAAAGAGTGTATGTATAAGTGCCTCACTTTCAAGTGATATTTATGCTTGCACCGTTTTGCTTGTTCTCATATCCAACAATGGCATTTTCTCACCAATAGACGCCCATAAGATATTCAAACTCCACCTGAGAAAACCAAGCACCCTTTGCGTCTGTCCTACTACGTTGTGCCAAACGGCTTGTTGACTAAAAAAATCTGGTAGGATGCTCTGAGCGTGTCGGTCAGAACTTTAACGAGTGAAAGAAATTTATCTCATGACTCATGCGTCTGTAGAAGTGATGACGAGTGGATGAGTGAATGTCTCAGTGGTTGTCAAACTCTGGTTTGTTCGCACCGCTGGGATAAATGTTGAATTTAATTAGAAAGAGTTTTAGATTCAAATGGCATTTCATAAGCATTATGTGGAAGCGCTTGGAAAGATTTCTGGTTCCCCGAACCCAAAACGTTTGAGAACCTCTGGTCTAAAGCTGTTTTCATGTTTGTGAAAGGACTAAATGTTCACCTATACTCCAGCTGCTTCCTATCTCCTAACAAAACACATGAAATCGAGCTAGCGTATTAGCTTGCGCCATAACGCCATTGAGGAACAGCTGCCGCCGTTTTGTTTGGTGCCCTCTTCAAAGGACACCGGGAACTGATGTGTTTTTATGTGAATTATTTCCAAAAGGCTTTTTTGGAGGGAGGATCTCCCGCACTGCCGCACCACACGTTGCTTCAATTACACACCAATAACACGAGCATCTGTACCTCCAGCTCGATCATCTATGGAGACATTGTTGTTCTCCTGTGACACAATTAGTCCAACTCTTGTTGCATTCCTCCCGTGTCAAGGCAAGTCGGTTTTTATTTAGATTGCGCCAATTCACAACAGAAGGCGCTTTTACGCATTGAGCAGGTCAAGAAGCACCCTCCTCAGGCATTAATGAAAAGCAGTCGAGGGACAGACACGATAGAATGTTGGAGCGGTCGGGGGAGGGACGAGAGAACAATGGGCGCGACAACAACAGTAATTCCATGATGGCAGGTGTCTGTGTCCGGCTGTGAAGTCTGGCAGGTTGCTTTGTGGCTTTGCGTTGTCGCCAGACTTTCCTTACTCAAGAGCTGATTGGATCCAAGTGGAGAGGAGGCGGAGTCTAGCTGTTTTGGCACCGTTGTTATATTGGGAGCTTTGGCTTTTCCCAACATACCGTAATTACACTTTTTGTTTTATGGTGATGTTTTTTTTTTTTTTGTTTTGTTTTTTTGGTTTGTTTTTTGTGGAAGGACTAGAAGGATTAACCTGTTACTTGTAAAAGTGAGTTTGTTCGGTCATGGAGCAAATCGAACTGGTAAATCAAGGTACCACTGTACAGTAAACCTGCTTCCATTGCGGCTTCCTTATTCGCTGTCTCCGTATTTCACTTATGGGGATACAGTTGATAGAACTTCATTTTTTTTTCCCGCCTCCCATTTCTTCTGGGTGTAATTCCGCTGTTGGCTGCTAGACGGCAGCACATTTTACATTTGCGCCATGTCATTTGGAAGAAGAAGAGTGAAAACAGGAAGTACTGTATTGACATTGTTTTTAAGCCTGCCTTTTATGGCTATGGGTTGATTTTATAATCAATCTCTGGGAATGATTATCGGTGTTTATTGCGAGATGAGTTTGTTTATCTGGAAATGAGATTTGATGACTGTAAACAGAGAGGGTTCGGTACACCGCGCCACTGTTTTTGTCTTAATGCGGCTAATTCCTCTCAATATATTGTTTGAAATGTTTGTTTTTCCATTGTTTTTAAAGACCTGAAAAAAAGTGAAGTAACTTTACTTATCACTGCAATTCACCACCGCGTACCTCCATATTTATCCACACATTTTGGAGATTTGCCTCGACGCATATCCGAAATTGGCCCCATGGGATTGAAAAATGCGAAGTGGGTCACTTGGGTGGTGTAAATGCCGCCTGAAGACTGACAGGCAGTGTGCACCTGCCGCCAGCCAGCACACTGCAACTGGTTGCGCAAGTTTGTGCTGCAACTTATCAGCAGCACACAAACGCTATCAGAGCCACAATGCTTCAATTTCGACATTTTTTTAACCCCCCCCCCGACAACACTGCTTCTCTCCAATGTAGGTTTACACCGGTGAATC